CAAAAAAAGGAGCTCATTCAATCTGCAATTATTTTACCCTCTGCATTTATAAAAAGCGAAAAACGTTATTGTGGCTATAAGTAATGCTTTTTGCATTAAAATAATTACAAATTCCTTGAACGCGTGTTTTTTTAGGTGTAGAATGCGGCACGGGCATGTTGTTTGGCTTTGGTGCTGGTGCAATTGTGTTGGGAGAGGTAGAATTTAGGTGGGGGAAAAATTTTGCGGTCCAGACTTTTTTGGCCAGACCGTGGGTAGAAATGAGATAAGACTTTCCTTATTTGAAAGGGCTACGAGGGGGCAAGCCCGTGCCCAGTAGATTTGCGCTTCCTCCAGGCAGAGTGGGGCGTTGGCTGCATGCCGCATGCTTCTGCTCCGGCAAACATCCAGGTCGGCGGGTCTGGTTGGTGGTTATGGGATGCCTGTTGGCGGGTGGGATTCCGGTGGGTGGTGCGTCACGGTTCGTGTCTAGATATGGAAAGTCTTGGTCGAGAGCTGCGGGCTTTTGCTGCCAAGGCCCGTTCGCGGTGAGCGGAGAAACGGCGGGCCTCGCGTTGCGATAGGGAGGCGTTTGAGATGGCCATCACAGGAGACTAGGCGAACAGAACGGTGGAACAGGGACGGGCCCGAGTGGAAACGGAAAAAGCAAAAGCTTCCAGGCAGAAAAAAAAGAAGAAAAAGCCAAAAGCAAGCAATGAGCAGGGAGGCCAAGACCGGAGCGACCACAGCATCGAGTTGGCCCATCTCTCGCGATAAACTACCGAGAGCGGAATGTGACGAGTATCTTTTCTTTGCCCGAAGGGCTTGGAGGTCCAGGCTAGTAGGTAACTCGAACGGGCGACGGGTGGTAAGAATTGGCGAGGGCTGAATTCGAATTTCCACGATGGCGGTTCTCGCTCGAGGTCTGATGATTGCCGTCCTGCGCACGTGCCTGCCCAGCAAGGTGCGTGGTTAGGCACAGTGATGCTGTTTAAACTTTAACGAGGCCCTACCCCTGGGAACCTGAGCCCCACAACGACCGCGCGCCCAAAAGTCGGCTCACAAGCTATGATCGAGCTGTCATACTGCCATCGGCGCCTCAGTTTTTTTTTTTTTTTTTTTTTTGCCCTTCGCCAACGCTTGCCCAACTGCTGCTCACCTCCGTGGATGCCGGGGACTAGCCTTGTTGGGCTGTGGCGAGGCTTGCTGGGCTAGTCCAGGTGTGGGTCAAGGTGAGCGAACGACTAGGAATCTTCCCTCCTCCCTGTTGTTCATCAACAAAAATACCTTGTTCTTCCCTTCACTAGTTCAGCCCAAAACTTGTGGTGGCTTGGCTAGCCAGATCTTTGCTTGTTCTACCGCTTCATTCGTTTCTCCTCGTTTCTCCGAGCTTTGATGGACGCCACCTTATTTTGCTTTTTTTTTTCCTCCTCCAGGGGCGTCTCGAGGCCGTCGGTAGGCCGCAGTCTCGTTTGGCGTGCGTAGCCCCAACCGCATCCCCGAAGCATTTCTCCCATAGCAAGTTCCGGTCCATGATAACAGCTTACATCAAACCCCTTGCCCTCCTTCACATGATCTGGGCCAAGACGGCACTAGTAGGGCCCTTACCCACCAGCCGGGCCTCACTCTTTGACAACTTCGCAGTCCGCGGACCCGGTCTCACTCTAACTGGGGTGCAAGATAGCGGGGTAACCTGGCTGGTCTGCAATAAGTGATGGGAGGTGTGTATATTCGTCAATCTGTAAAGTAGCGAGGGCTGGGACATAAGGTCTGCCTCTCACAGGGGATGCTAACCCGAAGGAGTCATCTTTCCCCGTCCGCCAATTAGAGAAATAATGTCTCGTCCGGCATTACACCCTCAAGCGGGTTGCCAGAAAAAGCAATTCAAGGAGGGGAAAAGGGGGGGAAATGTCTCAGGCCAAGGTGCCGGTGCCGGTGATGCTGATTCCTCAAACATCCCCGCGCTTCTAAAATAAATAAAAAATACCCATCTCTTTTCTTTATTCCCGCGTGCCGGACTCCGTCCATCCTCTATCCGATATTCCAGGCCCAAAACCAACGAAAAGAGAAGAAGAAGGGTGGATAAGAGATTACAGAAAAAGCAAAGAGATATATAAAAAAAAAATAAAAAAAATAAAAAAAAAAAAAAGGGGCGGACGGTGAGATCTCGCAGTTGGTGGCGCTTGCCAATGCCGCAGTCCCCACCGTCGAGTTAGCTCCTTTGGGGTAAGTGAGCGTCGGCAAGGGGGGCGGCGCTCGCTCGCGACTAGTCCTCCTCTAGTTGGGCCTGTCGCGCAGAGGAAAGTACATGCCCTGGCGGGGCTCGAGGTTCCAGGACTCGCTGCGGACGCTGGGTCCAAAGGCGCCGTCCCAGGCCGCCTTCAGCTCCTTGGGGATGGCCCAGCCCAGACGGCTGCTCCGGCAGCGGACGCGAACCAGGTGGCGCTTGTTCCCGCCGTTCTCGAAGGCGTCGCGGCGGTGCAGGACGGCCAGGTTGTTGATGAAGTGCATGTCGCCCGGGCGCGTCGCGATGCGCAGCTCGATGCGGTGCGCAATCTCCTCCACCACGTCGAGCGCCGCCAGCTGCTGGTCCGTCGGCTTGGGCAGGCGCTCGTCCCGCGGGTGCGCGGCGCTGCCCAGGAGCGGGGTGCGGCCAAAGTTGACGATGAGCCTGCCGCCTTCCACGAAGAGCGCGGGGCGCGTCTCGAGGCGCGGGATCGCAAAGGTGAAGGGCGAGGCCAGCGCGGCGATGAGGTCCGGGCGCGTCGACGCGACGAGGTTGTAGATGGCATAGCACGACGAGATGACGCAGCTGCCGCCCTCGGAGGCCTGCCCGCGCGTCAGCCAGCCGATGACGTCGCCGTCCTCCTCGTTGTGGAATGTCTATCTTGACGTCAGCATCAGAGGGTCGAGGCGGCAGAGCGGGAGACACTTACGATCGACTTGTTCGAGTGGCGGTGATGGTTATTGGTCGTCTCGCTGGACTTGTCCTCGACGACGTGGACTTTCATAAAGACGGGCAAGTCAGCGCGAGAAGACAACGGAGCGGCCGCAGAGCGCCTCGCGGCTAGTCCTTACCCAGCATGTTTCCCTTCGAATCCTGACGGCCGCGCTGATCGGCCACATACGACTGGACGCCCAGATACGCCAGCGTGAGATCCTCGACCGAATAGTTCTTGGGGTCTAGGCCACGGACTAGGCCGAATCCCCTGCCCTCGTGCAGCTCCTCTGAGAGGCTGTCGAGCACCCGGCCCAGGACACCCAATGGGAACGTCTCCCGGGAGACCTTGCTTCCGCTCAGCTCGAGGGCTACGAATGAAGGATGTCAGCCACTGTAAGGCATGGACGCGGACGGGAACAGGGCGCGGCTCACACTTGAAGTGCTGGAGAGCAGCGTTAATCTCGGCGATATCCGGCTCCGTCAGCTGGTAGACATATTTGCTCTCGTCCGCGTAGTCGGCACCAGTGAAGGCTAGCTTGCTGTCCAGATAGGATGGGAATCCCGCGGGAAGCTCTGCGAGGGCAGAAGCAGGAGAGATCTGCGGAGCAGGGAGGGAGGCGTCGACATATGCCATCTTGGAGATGATGATCTTGCAGAAATATGGGTGTGATGAAAACGAGGCGAGGAAGTGGTTCTGCGAGAGATGAGGAGTGTGTTGCAGCAACGATGAGAGAGGTAGTCTTGTGAGGGAGCGGTATCTTTATATATGAAAGCAGACAAGGCAGAGAATGACTGGGAGTGCTCCAGAGTCGAAGGATGGAATGGTGAGAGGGAAAATGGTATTGGTTTTGGGAGCAGGCTGCCAACTTTAAGTAGGCAACCAGCAGGGAGGCCAGGACTGAAGAGATTCGTTCCGGGGATAGCGGTGAAGTGTAAACCTTACTTTGGAAGCTGAGAATGAACCGGCGAGTGACAAGGCTAAACGGGTAAGGACGGGTCGGGAGGGAGTAGCTAGGCAGGGGAAGCCATTTTCAACGAACCGCTAACAGACCGCTCGACCTTGGATGCAGGGGGACGTTCAAGGTTTGCTGGAATCGCCGACGTGCTCTGGCTCGTTTTTTCTTCTTCTTTTCTTTTCTTTTCCTTTCTTTTCTTCCCGTTCCCACTGCTAGGGGCGATCTTCATACCCCTGGTAGTCGTGCAAGTAACGAAAGAAAGGGTGACAGCAGCAAAGATGTTACCAACCCAAACGAAGGGCGCCCTGATATCATGAACACAGCGTCATGCCGCACGCCAGAATATTAGCCGTGGCATCCCAGAATATGATTCCCAAGCCCAGATACCACCCCCTGTTGACCAACCTATTCCTTCGTGCCTGCCGCCGCCCGCGCTTGCTACAGACCAAAGGAACCCAGCGAGAAGGGTCACGCGCACGAGGGCTCGGATCGACATGGGCCTTTCCGAAGCGGCTCTTGCCGACTCAATATCGGGAGTGGAGGCCACCATCCATTCACCTCCCGTCCCGTCCCGTCGACTACAGCTCTCTCCGTGCCCAGGCTTCCTGCCGGCCGCGAGCGGTTGCGAGGGAAATGAGGACGGCCACGGGCGGCCCGAAGCATGCGCGCTCTGGCCCGGTCGTGAGTGCTTGTGGAATCGTGGACGGGAAATTTTTCCTCCCAAATATAAAGAGGTATGTCGTCGTCGCATGCTTCCCACCGGCGCTTGTAACCGCCGTTACTGACCGGTCATGGGGACGCATGACTGGTATCTAATACGTGAAATACCTTGCGTCACACGCGCACGGCAGACATGCGTTGTGCTGCTACGCTAGGTTGTCGCTCCTGACGAAGAGAAGGCACGGAATGGAGACGAGAGAGACGCAAGGAGAGTGTGTACCTTGAACCCGCGTGGCTTGAACCGTGGCCCAGGGCTTGGGCGCCAGGTGTGAATCCCGACGCGCACGGCTTGTCGTCGCGCTGGCCTTTGCGGCGTGGCGCCAGCAGCCACCCGCCAAGTTTGTTATTTGAGCAGGCGGTTGTGTGCATCTGCTGCGCATCTATCCAGGGCGTTGGTGCAGCTTTTGGCATGGCGTGTCCAATTGGGTTCCCGGCAGGTGGCGTGGGAAACCACAAGGGCGCACCACGCCCTTTTTATACTCGTACCCGTCTCTGCTAGTTGCACGCCATGTGGCTTCCTGACCGGTCCGGGGCGCTGCAGAGGGAGGTCGCCGTCTTTGGGCATCACGGAGGCCGGCACCCAGCGGCGAGGTCCTCTCGCTTGGACGGTGGCAAACATATATACCAGCCCAAATGGAGCACGGCAATGGCCTTGTGGTCGCCAAGACGGCCAGCATCGTATGGTACTGGAATGGGGGTGTTGGTGTCAATACAGCCATGCATGTTGTGTCCACAGGTCGTGTGGATTCGGTGTATGGATGAGCCGCATCCCACTGACGGAGGTCTTGCACCCACCCCTCCTTTGTTATTCCCGTTGCCGGCCGGTAGCCAGGGTGTCACCAGTGGGCATGTGAATGGATGCAGACGAGTTCTGGTACATTGCTAGACATATAGGTAGATAGGTTGAGCCTAGGCATCAGGGTACCTAGGTAAATGTATAGACATGTATCCATCGCTGCCGGATCTGCAGGGGAGGTGATTGCTGTGGCTGGTAGTGGTTGAGATATCCAGCTTGCTTTTTCCCTTCCCCTCTTTTTCTCGTTTCTTCTTCTTCTTGTTGTTCCCACATTTTTTTTCATTTCATTTTTTTTTTCACCCTCCTCTTTGTCCTCATGTCCTCTCGTTCTCCTTGCTTGCATGTAGCGAGATCTCCTCGCCCCATTTCCAGGCTGTGGGTGCCGCGCCATGCTCGGATATAAACTCGGATTGTTCGCGGCTGGACGCGTGGAGGCTTCAAGACACCTGGTCCTGGGTGGTGACTGCACACGTCTTGATGTTTGCCAAGTCGGGCTTCATGCCCCTTGTCGAACTCGCACATATGTAATGTGGTCTGGCGGGGAAGCAAGCGGGCAAGCAAACTTTGGCGGGTAAGCAGCAGGGAGGAGTGAACGGCCCACCAACCAGGTCGGTGGCCAATACGTGAAGCGAGTCCAGGAGCGCCCCTGCACTTTTAGCACTGGGGCCATCGTCTCTGAGCCCCGGCCGGCGAGGGCGCTGTCAAGACGGTGCGTTGCAGGGATACCGCTGCCACAGCGGACCCTGAGTCCCGCCAAGTAAAATGCGCGCCTGCGCCTGTGGCGAAAGTAGGATATTAAACGTTACGCTGTGGGTCTGGTTAGCAGGGTAGCGATACATCGATTTGGCGGGCTTTTCTGGGGAAAAAATGTAGCTGGGACGTGGCCTAATTAGGAAGGATCTGCGGGTCGTAACGTTTAATATCCTACTTTCCTATAGCTTGCAGCAGGGTATCGCCTGAGGGACGAATCGCATTTCATCGGCACTGCGAACCCTGCACATCCGGTTCGGTTAGATTGCGGCCCAAGATGCTGTCTTGGCGGCGGGCAGACTGTCTGCTTCCTTCCAGGCCTGATCGGCGGCCACTTCAGCCTGGCCAGTTGCGTGGCGCCCAGTCCTGCTCGTGCATCTGGGCGACGAAATAATACTCGTTTTCGATCTCGCCTCTCTCGAGAAGGTCGCGCCACTGCGTCTCTGTGGAGACGTGCGATTATGTCAGCACACCCTCGATATCCCCAGCAAGGCACTTCAGGGCAGGTAGGAAGTGGCAGGTTGTACCATTGTCCTTGATGTATTTGCGCGCATACACGACATACTCTGCGGCCTCGTTGCCCGAGCTGGTCCGCACGTCGTCGATCTTGACGTCGGGGGCAAACGGCTTAGCGTACCTCCGGTAGTGGAAGTAGGCCAGGAGCGTGGTGGCCCCTGCGAGACAGCCCAAATAAAATCGTCAGCATGTTCCAGAAATGATCGAGAGCCATGGCGGCGTCCGCCTCAGCCAGGATGTCCAATAGAGCAAACCGAGATTGGACACCACACCATGGTGGATGCAGCCCAAGTTATGCCGATCAAGACCTCGCAGCATGTTCTGGCTTAGGCCCAACCAACAACCCTTTGCATGATTTCACTTACCAACAAAGTACTGCTTGACTTTGTCCTCTCTCGCGAATCGTCGCTGATGGTAATGGTAACGTCAGCGGGCGCCTGGAAACCAGCAGGACATACAAGCGACCTACCTCGATCCCGTGCTTGCGCGCGTAACTGGCATCGTGCTGGATGACGAGGGTAATGTTGTGCAAAAGCACAAAAGTCACCAGGTACGTGGTCAGCCACGTTTTTTGCCTGTTCTCCTGCGTGAAGTTCTGCAGCTGGTCGAGCGTCTCGCGTCGGAACTTGGCTTGGATCTGGTGGATCAGGATCGAGTCCAGCTGCGCACCCATGACGGGCGGCAGCGGTATCTTGCCGTTGAGCGGGCTGCTCTCGTCCATCAGGTCGTGCGTCATTCCCAGAGTCTCGTCGCCCACAATCTCGAAGGACGTAGTCGTCAGCCGGATCGACATCCAGAGCTCGAGCGTGCTGAGCAACAGATCCTTCTCCTCCTCGGCCAGCCTCGAGTCCGCAAGCATCCGTATTGCCAGGCTGTAGGTTCGCCACAGGAGCTTCTTCTCCCTATTCACCAGCTTGTTGCAGCACTCCTCGACGCCGTTCTCGATGTAGCTGTCATAAGAGCCCCTTACAGCATCCATGTCCACCAGCGCAAACGCGGGGATCCTGACGGATCGCCTGACCCCGCCGACAACCCACGAGCGCTCCAGCCGGTCACCTTCCTGCGGAACAAACTGGCGCACCTGAAGCTCCACAGAACGCCCTGTGAAGCCTTCAGTCACGCGAATGGTCTTGATCTCGTCGGATGCCCAGCTCGAAATCTCGTCGGCCACCATGCCGTCTTTCCAGCGGCGTGTCCACTCGTAGCCCTTGACCGGCCCCGTTTTGGACAGGGTTACCTCGCTAATCTTCAGCCGGAGGCATGGTAGTCGCCAGACCTTGTTCGTATTGGACACCTTTCTGCACGTACCACACGGGGAATCCCCGTCCTCGGGGTCGGTATGACACTGCCGGGGCCACGGGGTCAACATCAGGCCGTGCTATCCCCGGACGACGAATTTCGTCCTTGAACGGAGGGGAGGGAAGGGACCAGGAAACGGGATACTTACCCTGATCCGTTGCATTCGACATCGTATGCAGCTGCCAATCTTCCTCGTGTATGCCGTCTTCTGTCGTTCTACTTGATTTCTGAAAGGGCCGCGTTTTGCGGGCGGGGCCCTCTGTGGCAGAACCACCACGTCGAGCTTGGAAACTCCGTTGTAGACCTCTGTTCCTCCAACGGAACCTTCGCCAACCACAGGATTCGGTGTGCCATAGTTGGCGAGCACTCCGTATCCGGGACCTGCCATGGGGGCTAAGCCGCTGTGGGCAGGCAAAGGTGTCTCGGCCGGCGTCGAGCTGGTCATATATTGGGTTGTTTGTACCATTATGTGGGAGCTTGGCTGAGGGGGCGCTGTGGCGAGATGAGGAGTACTGGGTATAGGACCAGAGTATGCCGTGGCTGTCATGGCTCCGGGGTAGAGCATCAACTCGCTGGACGTATGGGGCTGCTCAACACCGGCCGGCCTTGATGGAGGCAAGGGCGGATATTGTGGCAGGTACCCACCCAGTAGCGCAGCATCGTCGCAGCCCAACAAACCGGGTACTTCTGCGGCTGCAGTGGCAAATGCATGGTAGTTGGAAGTCCGGCTTGGCATAAGCGTCGTAGGGGTTGGGATAACATCAACTACGACAAGTTGACTGCCGCCATCGTACTCGTAAGCCGCCGTGGTGGTCATAGGTGTGTAGTTTTCTGCAGGCAATCAAGGTCAGTACAAGGCCGGCTCACGCCTGTGATAAAGGGTATGCTGACCATCTTGCGACCCATAGCCCACACAAGGGTTACAAGCAGCAAAACTTGAAAGACAATCGGCTATTCCAACGCTGCTGAGCCCGAGAATGGATGACATGGGCTCTGGTGCAGCCGCGAGAGTTCGATAAGGGACCAGCTGGGTGGCCTCGCCCTCATAGTGCTGCCCATGGTCAACGTGCTCGTGATCCCCTGGCTGGTAGGGCGCAAATTGAGGCGGCATGGATACGGTGGGATCTACTCGTGACCGTTTGTGACGATGCTGGTCACCAAGCTCCAGAAGACTGGCGACGGGAGCGCCGAGGTTGGCCGCAGCCTGCTCAACAGCACTGGGAAGCTGTTTGTGCGGTTGGGAAAATTCGAGGAGCTGATAGACCGAGACACCAAGGAACTGTGCTGCCTGCTCGAGTATCTGCTGGCGGTCTGCTGAGGGGGGAAACGGTATTTGAGGAGCGGCGGGCATCTCATGGCCGGGGGGAACGTGAAATACACGCTCCGCGGGGGAGTCCTCATGGTCATATGACCGACGCCGTTTGAGCGCATTTGTAGTGTGGCGGTTCTGCAGAAGCATTCAGTGGGCGATCAGAGGGACAAGGGCATGTCTAGCTGGCTGGTGGTGTGAGGGGGTTTGAGGGAAGGTTCACCGAGTAAGGCTTAGGGGAGAAAATAGTTTGAAGAAAGGACCGGTGAGGGAAAACACCGCTCGCACGGAAAAGCGGGCGTGTGCGGACATGCATGGCTTCTGGGCATTCCCATTCTGCCGACGGCATGGAGGGCACGGTAAAGGGTAGGGGGTGATTGGGTGGGATGCTAGGGTGTGCGAACGATGCAGGCTAGGGGAATCATGGGCACAGGGCACGGGGTGATGGCATAGTCCTTACCATCATCATGACTTGTATGGCATACGGCGACTCGGGCCTTGGGGCAAACTCTCGGCACTTCTTGGTGCGATGAAGGGTAATCAAGGCCGGAGCCAGGTTGTATGACGGGGGCGGCGGGTCCTCGCAGGGGCGGAGCTAACAAAGCGTGCCTGGTGAGCAGGGAAGCTGACATGTGCCGAAATGTTGATCTAGTGAGTTCACAAGCCAAAGCCAGGGCAGGCGTCCAGGCAGGGGCCGGTGAGGGTCACACAGTTGCGGGGAGCCAGACCGGTTGTGCAAGGCTGGTGGCAGTCGCGCTAGGACGGTATGTGGGTAGGAGTCGGTTCGCGAAGTGATAATCATGAGAACACCATAAAAATCGAGAGGAAAGCAAAGAAAGGCCTTTGTGGTGCGGGTGGGGATCTGCGTAATAGAATCAAAGGATGACCAAGTAGAGCAAGGTAGGGTCAAGCAAGTGATCGGCCGGCGTGTTACCGCAGAAAAGGGGATGGAGTAGGTGGAGTATGGTTACGGCCAGAGAAAAGATTGATGCGATGGATGTAGCTGCCGGCCGGTGAGAAAGAAATGGAGCAAATACACGCCGAGCAGAAGTGCAGGGTGGTAGACGGGAAACAGAAGAGGGGCTCGTTGGCTGCCTTGGGGACTGGTCGGTTCCGGCAATATGGATCTGATCCCTAGCCTTGACCAGGGAGCCGTCACGCGGCAGGCAAGGCCTATTGGGATGTGAAGTTCCTTGATGTTGTTCCCCGCCTACTTGGCGTGATAGAACACCTAGGGAGCTCGACCCGGTTGGCGCCGGCGTCGCTGTCGTTCCGAGAGGGAAGGATGAGGAGGAGCGGTGCTGGCGCTGACTAACGCTCCGAATGTGCCTCTAGCTTGTCGTTGTCGATCGCGGAGGGGAGCAGAGAAAGGAAGGGGAAGAAAGAAAGATAACAATGTGCCCAGGTCTACAGCGAGGGAATATGGCCGAACGTGACGGGTAAGTGCCCGCCTCTTTGGAAGTCGTGAGGCAGTCGCAGAGCCCGCGGTCGTCGCGCTGGGCGATCGGGCAGCTTCGGGGCCGGCGGACAGCGTCTGCCGGGCACAAATCTTGGGCTCGGGCGGTGGGCTCGTCCCAAGATACACAGGCCCGAAACGGGCAAGCCAGCCCACAGCGGGCGACGGAGCGGCTGAGCCTCCGTTGGCAGCAGGTAGCGGCAGCGACACGGGGCGCACGATGAGCACAATAACAGGCGACGACAAGCCGCGGCGGGCGGTGCGGGTGGATGGCGTGCGCACGCGCTCGTACGCTCAGATGGTGCAGGCGAGGCAGCAGCGATGGCGCGGCGATGCGACGAGGGCGATTCGGTCAGGGCGAGAAGGCCTCACCGGTCCCTCGCAAATGGTCGCAAATGCGGGGCGTGGGGGAAGGGGCTATCTATGGCGTTGAGGGCGACCGCAGCGTCTGGGAAGAGGGGTGTGGCCGACGAGATAGGCCGGGCCTAGAGAAAACGGCAGACGGGCCCGTAAGCCGGTCGCCAGTGGTCGTGCGGTTGGGGAGGAGTCCTCGTGCTGCGTCCCGCCCTCGAGGCGAGGGGCCACAGATTGATTGGACCAGATCGTGGGAACACGACAGGGCGAGCGGTGGCGGGCGACAATACTCTGTAAATGCAACCTCTCAACTAGCACCGGAGGAGGTACCACCCAGCTAGCTGCTGGGCGCCCGACAGTTGCTTTTGCGGTCTGGGGGATGGATGGCTGGTGCCCAGGCTAGCGGCCACGGGAGCTGTGCAGGCTTGCCCTGGCCGACGATAAAAGAAGGGATGGAAGCCAGAAAAAAAAACAAAGCGACGGGACAAGGCGAGCACGCAAACGCGATTACAAAAGAAGTAACGAGGAGCGGCGCCTCCCGCTATCCAGGTCGATCCACTAGAAAAGAGACGAGGAGGCCCCCGACGGAAGAGGAACCTGGGAGATGAGGGAGGGGTCTTGAGTCGAGCCGAGCAGAAAAAAAAAAGATGCCACGACGACGACGCACAGCCGCGATAGCCACCTTCCTCGTGCACTCACGAGGCAAAACAGGGGAATGGCAAGCGGGAAAAATTAACCAAATGAAGCCTCACACATCCTCAAACAAAATGCGAGAAAATCATGAGATTGACGCCAGGACATCCAAGTCAGTCCACCCACCTACCATTCAGTGCCGCGATCCAGAACCGTCCGTGGGGGGGCTGCCTACCTTACCCGCCGTCTGCCGTCAGTGCTGTCGGCAACGGCCCTGCTGCTGCTATGAAGAACGTGGGAAGGTCGGCTCCCCTATAAGTCGTGGCTGTTATACCTATTCTAAGCGTTTCCGGGCGAGAGGAGGCGACCAAGGGCGGGCGACCTGCCGAAGAGGGTTGGACTCGTTGATGTCGGATGCGGTCAGGCTCATGGGCCCCGTTGCAACCGAGGCGACGCTGAGGCTTTTCCATTGTCTTCTCCGGCAAGCCATCGATCCTCCCTCCCCAGCGTCAGATGCGTCTGGGGGCCTGCGCTGGCCTGACGAAATTGGCCACGGCATCAAGGGCGGGCTGTCTGCGCTGCCTGCGCTGTCCAACGTGTCGTACCTCTGCCTCCCCATTGCGGCCCCACTAGGTTGCAGAAGCCCACCTACAGCTGGATGGGGGTGGTGCTCGCGATCATCCATCCATCTATCTGATTGCTGCAGCTTGTGGATGTGGCCCATGCTTCCTCGGTAGCCCGCCCGACCTACCGTCTGTGCCACAGCACTTTGCCCCAAGCTGGGCACGTTGGGCCACCACCCGAAAAAGGCTCTTCTTGCGCGCCGCCGGTCGTGACTGGGTGCCTGGTCTGCCCAAGACGGACGTGTAGCATTCGGCTGCAGCTAGCATGCTGTGCTGGGACGAGGATCGATCATTTGACCTCATCCCACGTGGCCGTCACTCCATGTCAGACTCTGGATGTCCTGTTTGCTATCGTCTTCTCTTTTTTGTTTCTTGCTTTTGAGTTGTCGCCCACGCCATCGTGCCTTTTCGACCCCTTTCTGTGGTCAGACTCCCGGCCAGCGACAGCAGTCTAGACCGATTCAAGCCTAATCAAGCCGCTTGTTGTGTAATTGTGGGGATTCAGAGGACCATGGCTTTTGTTATCAGGCCAATCAGTGTTGTGGTGCGCTGATGAGACAAACCCCATCATGGATGCTACGGGGGAGTAATAATTCCCCAGATGGTAGCGAAGGATGACTGCCTGATTTAACTGGTACATGACTCAGCACGAGTTCACTTCTATATCAGTCAGTTGTCATAACGGATAGGCGAGAGCGTTGGTTTTGCATTACCAACGGTGCCATCAATAAGCTTTGTCGGCTCGGCAGCCGTCCAACCGAGGGCCTGCCACATGCGGAAGTCGAAGGTTCGAACATTGAACTCGGCGGCGTGACACGACGACATCAAAAGGAAGAGGAAAAGTAACCACACCCACGAAACCCGACGGAAGAATTTACTAGCGTATAATAGAGGGTATAGTGCTTTCCCTCTTGCTTGTCTAGCCAATGTGTCCAGCCCGAGGAACCCTGGTCGTGAATGGCGCCTGTAATGTAAAAGGCAAAAAGTCTAACTAACCCAAGGCCGTAGCACACCCAACCCAGGCCAGGGAGTCTGTCAGTCATCAGAGACCAATGCACAAGCTATAATAGCCTAGGATCGCACTAGCATACGTTGGGTCGGCTACGCATTCTTGTGGCAGCTCCCGTGTTGGCAATGACGAGTGTTACGGCTCTCCATCGACTGGGCAAGCCATCATCATTTCCTGTCACAAATGACGGATACACCAATTTGGGGTCGACGTGGGACGGGCGCTTTGGGAGAGCTACCATCTCATCCCCGTCTCATCTCCATTTCATCCCCATCCCCGTCCCCGTCCGTCCCCCCACCCACACTCCCCAATCTTGAGGGCAAAAGAAAGTTGCCCCACCCACACTCCCCAATCTTGAGAGCAAAAGAAAGTTGCGATGAGCAAGGTAGCTGCATTTCTAATCGGCCGCTTCGCTTCCTGCTCGTTTGGCGCTACGCCAGCACATGACGACTTGGCAGACCACCCCAACCACATCCTTGAACCATTTACCCCCTCGACAACAACAGATCTTGCAGCGCGGCTAAGGCATTCCACCACTCGGGCGAAAAAAGAGGCATCCCTGAACTGCCTGCAGGATGCAGGTGAGCACAACACATACACCCACCCACACTCGCTCACACACACACGCACACGGGCCTGTTCCAAAGCGCCCCGATGCGTTCTCGTGATGGCAGCTCCTGCAACAGCGGCACCCTTCCATGCGCAATGACACGCCCCGTCGGATTTGCGCCCAGTTCCGCCGGATAGCGTAGCCTTGTGCAAGCGCAAGTTCGGTAACGTCGCCCACGGCTGAGTGTTGGCCACGTGTGTGACGGACCGCCGTGCGAAGCACCGATCCATCACGAGACGCCGGCAATCCGTGGTCCGCCCTCGTTGTGCTCCACCGAGCCTCGACGCACCCGGCAAGCGATCGCCTCCTATGAGGTGGAGTGTGACGTGAGACTGTTGGAGGGAGAGCAAGCTTCAAGATGGGTTCAAGCCGGGTCCCCGTGAGATACCTAGCCGGGGGAGACGTTGCCCGCGATTCCCCTTGGACTCGGTCCTCGCGACGGGGCAAGGAGCAGGGTTTTCGGCCCTGCTCCCGAGTGCGATCCATAGATGGCATCAACGAAAATGCCGTGTAGGGGCACAGGGTTTCACAAAGAAGGCGGCCGCCAACCGCTGCTGCCTGGGCGTGCATCTAGGGTGGTACAATGCCGTTTCCCATATCTTTCCTCTTGAGGCCACAATATCGATGGCTATCCGCCGGAGTGGACGTCACAGCTATCTCTAGACCCAGGTCAGAGATGGCCGGAGCAGCTGCAGGTCAAAGGCCGGTTGGTGCCTTGGACCGTGGATGGAAACCCCCTCGGCTCCCCTCAATAAGATGTTGATGCCTGCTCCCGTGGACCGAGACCATGGTGCGACATGAGGCCAGGCTCTGAGATGCAGTTGGACTTATCGGGAAGGGAATAAAGCGGAGAGGATAGGAGATTGGCCGACAAAGAAAGGTAGAGCAAAAGCAGCAACAGTGCTGTGAGAACTAAGAGCAATCTCCCATCCACCCTCCCCGCACACAAGCGAGAGCACATGAAGCGGGATCGACGCCCCGGCAGTCGGCGGCATCATAATGTACAAAGATTCGCAACGGCAGACGCCGCACCGGGATTGGAGGAGGCGCACGATGATCACGCTTAGTGAGGCCCTGCGTGGCTGAGCCTTGCGTGACCCGACGAGGCTGGGCGGATCGGGCTCCAGGTGTGAATCCAGTCAATCCAAGTTCGTCTGGTGTTTATGAGTGGACCGACATTGACGGCGGAGGTGAGTTGAGGCGTGCTGACCTGACCAAGACCCCGAGTGAGAGCCCATGGCTAACCACAGCCAGCCGGTTTATTCAGTATGGGTCGCAGTGTCACAACGGCAGCATGTCGATCATTGTGCTGGATGTGTGCTCTGCCCCACCACCACCAGACTGTGCACGCCTCGGCCATGGCATTGAGCCTGGACTTGGTCGAAATCTGGGAGTCTGATATTTGTACCCCAGTGGATGTGAGACAGCGCCTATCAAATGGCCTCTTGCAGGAGTGGCTGACAGCACCAGGCAAATCAACAGCCCAGCGTCTGTACCCACCACGTCCCAGTTTGGCCTACCTACCAGGTACTCACAATATGGTCACGCTGATGGTTTGGGTCGCCGCCCAACCGGGCAGTCAAACAGTTCCGGGTAAGTCAATTTCCGAGCAGCACCAGATCGACCTTGACAAGCACCCGTACCACAAGGCCACGGGCATCGGCTGTGCTCAGGAACCATGTTCCCAGCACAACCCATTGTTCGCCCCGCCCCACCTCGACTGGCCTCCCCTGTAGGTCGGCGGCACCCGTCGCACGCCTGTGACAGGCAGGGAAAGCCCTGCTGCCGACTGTTGGCGTCATGCCCTGGCGACGACAACCGCCGTAGAGGTTGGGCACGCACGCCCTGGTTTGCGGTTTGCGCTTCGCGGCTAGGTCCCCGGATCGCGGGTCCCCTGGCCGAGGTCCAAGGTCGCCTCGTCCCGTCTGGACTTGACACTCGGCTCAGCAGAGGGAATGGACGGCATGGTGCGGCTCCTGCAATCAGACGTAAAGGACTTCCGAGCCCCCATCCATGACAACGGCCTCTGCTCCCGGGGCCCAGTCTCCGACTTCCGCTGGAAGGTTGCTCCAGTTCGTCCGCCCCCGTCCCACTCAATAGGGTCTATTTCTATTCGTAGGGGCAGATGCTCGACTCCCCGGGACAACAGTCAGCCCAATCATTCACATCTATCTTGCCTTTGTAGATGTGTTCGTTGGACGCATTTCACCCATCAATTTTTGCAACCCCGCCGCCTGCCCTCGCCGCCTACGCATTACCTCCCCGCCTGCGCCCACCGACAGACCTACCTACCATCTTGAGTAAAATTCAAGGTAGATCGGAGCCTGGGCCCGGAACGACCGTTGGCAGCCTCCCGGCCTGTCTAGCTCAGGTACCCGTGTGCGCCTGCGGTGGCTTCCGAAGCCGTTTTGCGTCCCCATCAACATTGCAACCCGCCTTTGCTTTCCCCCAAGCCTCCCCGCTGGTCCAAGGCCCTGGTGGCCTGCTTGCCCTCGAGGTTTTTACCTTGTCCTGTATCGCGGCTGCCGCTTCAATTTTTCATCTGCATTCTCTTTTTCCCCTGCTGTGCGCAGAGCGGTCCAAAGCGAACGTAGCCCCTCCTTCAAACCCACCCCCTCCCTTCCCCTTGCTTCTCCAACATCCCCCCACCAGACCACAAAACAGATCCTCCCTGCAAGACACGGCCTGGCTGCCAAAATGGACCTGGATTCCTTGGCAATTCATGCCATCGTCCACCCCACAGCCGCCTTCTCCCAAGACGCGGTCCTAGAAGGCTCCGGCGCAACCCCCGCCGGCCTGGGCGACCAGACCGATCACGCCTCGGACTGGGCTGGCTCCCAGCTTAACCCCAAGAACCGCATCGACAGCCTGGACTTCCCCAGCCCGCCACTCTGGCGCATCGACGGGTCCGCCGGCCTCGGCACGCAGTACTATGCCGTCCCGCTCTTCCTCGGGAGCCTGCCGCCCTTGCGGATAGACGTCTTTGTTGCCGAGTATCTGGGCAAGTCCTCTCCCATCCTCCGCTCCCTGCTCGACCTCGACAAGGCCTTCCACACCAAGGACGCCGCCAGGGTCAACCGCCTCGGCATCGCGAGGCACATTGTGCGTGCCTTGCACCTGTGGGCCTCGAACCTCATCGAGGCCGGCAACAAGGAAGTGCTCGACAACCTCTTTCGCAAGGCGCCCTTTGGCACCAAGATCATCTTCCAAAATCTGGAGCTTGACGTCGCCAACATCAATATCAGCATCGATCCCAACCACGAGCTCGAGCTGCGCATGCTCTCCGTCTCAGACCTGTCGTCCATGTGGGATATCCCAGCCGAAGAATTCCCTCCGTCCATCTCTCTCGATGATCTGGAGTTTGTGACGCAGCTGCACGACAGCGTCTGTGTCGTGAGGCAGATAGCTGGGCCAGGGAGTGATGGCGGTCGTCATGACGACCACGATGGCTTGCTCATCCTCAAGGCCCTTTCGAGCTCCAACAAATATCTCTATCACGAGCTCAGGGTCCTCCTCACAATACCGGCACATCCAAACATCGTGGAACGGCCTCTGCACCTCATCACCAAACAGGTCAAATTCGGCAACAAAAAGGGAATTGTCGGCTTCACGCTCTTCTATCATCGTACTAGCTCCATTCGCGACCATGTACCCTACATGAGGATCCACGGCCAACTCAAGCTGCCGGACCAGGTGAAGTGGGCGACCCAGCTCACATCAGCCCTGATCCACATCCGGGGGGAGGCCAAGACGTACTACCCAGATCTCCGGCTTGACAACGTCGTACTCTCCGAGGCCGGCGATGCCGTCATGGTCGACTTTGAACAGCGCGGCGTCTGGTGCGAGTTTGGCTCGCCCGAGGCCAACAACATCGAGTTCTTGCGCATCCTCGCATGTGACGACCCCTCCGAGTTCACGGGGTACGACGCCGAGCCGACCATTGGCGAGGAGCTGCGGTCGGGCTACGCGGAGCTGCTGAAGCGGCTGGTGCCCAACTGGGAGGACCTGTACTACAACCGCGAGTACGACAACCCGTCCCAGGGGTACAACCTCGCCTGGAAGGCCCTGACGCCGCCCCAGCAGGAGGCCGCCGAGGTCTACATGCTCGGGCGCGTGCTCTGGTGCTTGTTCGAGGGCATGGCGGCCCCCAAGCGCGGCGCCGTCTGGCAGTCGTACCGCCGCGAGCCCGAGATCGAGTTCCCCGAGTACAGCCGGACACCGTCCGCGATGCGCCGCCTGATTGACCGGTGCACGGCCGGTCGGAGGCCCGCCTGGAGCGACATGGTCGCCCGCGTCCGTAGCCGGGTGGTCCTCAAGAGCGGCGAGGTCGTGTCGCAGCGCGAGCTGCGGCAGCTCGCCAAGACCTGGTGGACGAGCGAACTCCAAGAGAACGGCCTCTACCTGGACAAGCAGGGCCGCGGGGCCGACTTGGACAAGCTCAAGCAGACTGATGCCTCTGCCCAGCGGCCGCCGCTGAGGGAAGTGCTGAAAGAGCTCGAGGCTTTCAAGGCCTCTATACCCCATTCCTAAAGTGCGTGCGCCATACCTTTCCGAATGCCCGACCACCCTGGCGACTTTCTTCCATTAGTGCCACTCGGGATATTGGCCTCTCTTACTCTTTTTGTATCACCCCCTCACTCATACCACTCCCTTCTTCTTGTCGCGCTTCATTCCTGACTGTGATTTACCCCGTTGTTTCCTGATTCCATCTCTGATAGTTTAATTCTCAAGCTGTTTGTTTTTTGCTACACTGTCTTCCGATATAGACTCAACGCTGCAAACCTATTGAGGTATTTGACGTGACTCTTGGCGTCGGGCAATCCGGAAGATACAACTGAATACCTTTTTTCTATTGATGGGTATGAAAAGGCCGCCTCTACCCCCTCGTGGGTCCATTCTTGGGTCAGGTATAATAGTAGGCAGTCAGACGGGCCGAGGTGAGATATAAGCATCCTTTTATAGTTCATTTTTGGAGATAGATTCCCAACACCACTCAAGCCCTGCGTACGTGAACAGGTGATAAATGCGTCAACTGAAGCTGATGGGCGGCTTGCTAGGTAAGCAAAAGGAGGAGGAGAAAGCAATAAAATGGGCTGCAAGTAAAAGGTAGAGGAGGGGGAGGTGGTGCTCGTAGTCTAAGCTGTAACCTTCTCTCACTACTGCTCTATAACTCTTATGCGGTGCTCCTACTGTACACGGTCCATTAAAATTGGGTTCCGCCGATCACAAAGAATCACCAACAATTACATGCGCCTCTACGACTAGCTTATAGGACTATCGTGAGCCTCAAGAGTTTTGCATCTTTTTCCGCCTTGACTTGCCCAACTCGGACCGCTTGGGCGTCCGAGGTTATATGGTCTCGGGTGCGGCTTCTAGAAGTCCGATTACTCCCTGGGAAAGAAATGTGCCATGCCATGGCGCACACGGGCAGTGGCTGTATCACACACAGAGCGCACCAGAAGACGCCGCCGCGGGAATATTCTGAGCCACAATGCCACAGTGAGGGCAGAGACGTCGAGACAGTCCTCGTTGGCTGGCGTTTCGAGGTGCTTCGTGACAATGTCTGCTATTTACCATGTCGGCTGTCTTCATAAACGGCAACAGCAGCATACATACAGCATCCGAACTCCAGCCTGTCAGATACCTCCAGTCGACACCAATCCGCCGATGGGTGAATCTACATGAGGAATCGATATCAAGCGGCTACCTGGGGCCCCCGGCTACTAAGACGACCTAGAGGCAGCGCTCGATTGGGTCCTTAAGGACATGCTTGCCCGCGACGGTCGTCGGCTGAGGTGCGCCCCGGCATGCATATCCGCATCATCCCACAGGAAAGGAGTGTCCCAACATCGCCGACATCAAACCCGTACAATCATTTGATGCGCACTACGCCTTATACGCCCGACTAGCAGTCTAGCTTCCAACAGCTCACAGCAGCAAACCGGGTGGTCGAGCGGGTAAAAACCGTGGCGCAAGTCACAACCGTCTTCCACGGGTGAGGGCCAGGAAACCCCAAGCTCGCTGATTCGAATCCGTCTAGTGACGGCGATTTTAGAGCTAGCAAAACCCAGCGAGTGCGGGTTTTCGTAACGACGCTGCTTCACGACGGCCGAGTGAGCTTTTTGCATTTTTGTTTTTTATATTTGATGGGTGGGAATTACCCCAGGCTTGAGGCAAAAACCAAGTTGCTAGCGACCAAACGCTAAACAGGAGGACTTGGTATTGACAAACATGGCCCATCCTCGGCGTTGGACCAAGGATTTCAGATTAAGATACCGCAAACGCGAGCTTCGATATCGAACAGCCCACTCCCCAGCAACGATGCCCGGCTCTCCACCCTTCAAGCATGCAAAGTTAAACTCCCGCCGCCACCTCGGTGAACAAGGCCGAGTTTAGAGGCCACGCCCATGTCGCCCAAGCTCTGCGATAACGATAAACAGAGACCAGCAAGCGGGCAACAGCGAAACTAGACCTTCAAGATCAAAAAAGTAGGGGGCAGCCAGCCTCTTCCCCCACATGGAGCATGATGCCCAGACAGCCGGCTCTGACCGGGCCGGTGAGAGAATCTCCACGGAGTGACCCCTCCACGGAGGAGCATTCCACAAGTCGTTAGCTCTCCTGGTGGGTAAAAATGTGGAAATGGACATGGTCTGCGGGCTTTTCTTTTTTTGTACTTCATTCTATCACGTTTCGGCTCGGGTCCTTCGGGTGAAAGAAGTGGCTTGGCCCCAGTTCCGCCACGACGCGAACGGGACGAAGGGGAAAAAGAAAAAAACAAAGTCAACCGAAGGAAAAACAAACAATCGCGAGTCATCAGTCGTCATCGACGATCCCCTGGGCCGTGTTTCCTCTGAGCCTCGCAGGCACACCCCGGCCTGTCAATGACGCACTGCTACTTGAGCCAGAAGCGACCGCCCGCGAGAGCGATTAGGGCCTTTGTCGTTTCCAACGGGGGTCGCGCAAATGGCAAATGGATGCGCACGCGCAAAAAGCTTGGGACCACACGTCTGTGAGGGTCGGGTCTAGGGTCCAATCCAGCACTCCTAACACTTGACACCCCTCCGTTTGGGGTGGGCGCACCAAAATCTCACATACGGGCAGGAACACGCAGAAAGTAGGTACCTGCAGCAGCGCTCACGTTGGGTCCTGGAGAAGAGCTGAGCGGGCGGGGGAGCCGGGGGCACCTCGCTTTGCCAGCAACCCAACGAGCGAGCAGGACTTTTGTCCCTGGGGACTGTTTCATTGAGGCGTATCGTACTGCATGCTCTGTATGTCGGTAGTACCTAGGTGCAGATATCGATGGACGTAAGAATTGGTGGGGCTGGCTGGGGTGATGCCAAGGGGCTAAAAGAAGCGAGAGCAATGGTGAGGCGAGTTCATCACGACATCGGTTTCTTGGAGTGCTTGGAGGGCTTGGGAGGGCCACCTACTTCCGGGTCCGGCTCCCGAAGCCGCTGCGGACGATGAGGCGCACTGTACCCAGCGATCGACCATGTCAAACAGGGGCAAGCACCACAGGGCAGCCCCGGAGCCACGATGCAGGCTACCAAACACAGTCCAAAGTGTGTCTGTCGAGTTCAAAGAAGATGTGTCACAGCCCTGCGCGCCGGTCTAGGCTCCCACATCCTCGCGAGCAGGCGAATAAGGGGGCTTGGTCTTGGAATGATGGATGCCCTGGGCACGCATGCACGGCCGAATTTTTTCCGGCCAGGGTCCCACACATACACACACATCAAATCTATGCAAAATCCTCCTAGGCTCATCCGTATTTCCCGCATGCTTCCAGAAGCTTCAAACATCCTCGCTCGCTCTCCTTAGGCAGAATCCTTTGTGCGGCACAAGCGGTTGAGGCGTCGTGCCGCAGACCAGCAGTGATATAAAAAGAAAAAATGATGAAAAGAAAGGAGAAAAAGGACCCCCAATTCCTCTCCCCAGTGCCAACGCCTCATCAGTGCGTCGGGCGATCCGCGCGGGAACCCGTGCTTTTAAACCGCGTTCGGAGTTAATGGCTCGATTATGTGCACGAAATGGTTGGGCGGCCGAGTGGCGCAATCCAGTCGATTTGATTGACGTGATCCCGTCGACTTTACGTGGGATTTGACGCCAAACTGCGAAAAAGAAAAAAAAAACCGGTGCGGCTGACAAGGTAGCAATTACGCACATTCACGCTAACAGGGCAGACTCTGACACTTGATTCTTTATCACCAAAACCCACGGATGTTGTTTCAACGGATTTGGTTATCCGCCCTCCATTCCCGAGCGTGGCGCCGAGCGTGGCGCCGGGAGGAGCAGACGGGAGCGCTGGAGGATGTGTATGACTTGCATAACACACGGGGCGAGCAGCGCATGACATTGAATTGGCGGTTGGGAATCCTCTCGGGGCTGTCTGATAGGGCAGCCCAACGAAGCACCCCTCGACCCTGGAGATCTTGCTGTCTCGGCTGACTGCAGACGGGTAGGGTCAGCTTACGTGCTGGTTGTTCCCGCTCCCGCAAGCGGAAGGTGGGAAGATGCGAGTGTGGCTCGAGGGACGGCTTGGACGCCATGGCTGGCGTCTCCCTACCCGAGACATTCCCATCAGCTCGGCAAAACCGATGTCAACCTATCGGGGCAGCGGGAAGGCCCTCCTATCGGGATGCCGCGGGCTTCGTACATCTGGTTCGGGGACGGCGGAGGTTAGTGCCTTTTTTCTCTCTTTCTTTTTTGGTCGCTTGGCATGCCGACATCTCTCATGGTTTTTAGCAGCATCTTACGATGGTCTGTGGTGGCCGATTTGTTTCGGGGTGTTTTTGTTAGATGAGCTGGATAAATAGCAGAGAGCAAACCGGGGTCCTGCTAGCCATCGTTGATCCTTCCCAACTCTCGGCTTCACCCATCCGACAGATCACCCCCCTCGACGCGCATAAATGAAATGACCAGGAGTTGCGCCGGTTTTTGCGAACGCCTCCGCTTTCGAAGACACACAATCCCAGCCCGGCGCGCGTCTATAGTACGGCATGCGTCAACACAGTATGCGCGCATCGCCGCGCGCTGCGGTCATGCTCACTGGCTGGCCGCCCACCAAACAACCATTTACACTAGTAACGACAGGGTCGGGGGACTTTGCATGGCTTGTAACACAGCCGTGTTTGGTGTGGATCACGACTTGTGTGGATCACGACTGTGTGGTTTATGATCGACACTGTGCCAAGCTCGTCCAACAACGTACAGCGGCGCGTCTTCCCCGACACGCTGTGCCCAGGAGTTTCCCAGAAGGTTGTTACAAAGCAAAAGGCTGGGTTGGCCGCCAAACCCCGTAACTGGCTGCCAGCCACGTCGCCCAAATAAAAAGCGATACACCAAATGATTAGAATGTGGGGAACTTGCCCCAAGCATTTTCGCAGCGAAAACATCGGGAGCAAAAAACAACTTCAAAAAATATCCAATACACAGCTAAATAAATAAAATAAAATAATACAAACAATGGCAGCATTTATTTACATATTAAGTTACGTTTTATTCTTTCTTTTCGGAGATGGAATAATTGAAAAGGAATGAATGCGCTCGATAAGGTTACTTTTTTGGTGTATCGCTTTTTATTTGGGCGACGTGCCAGCACAGCAGGGGGCGGTGCCCCCGCAAGCCGCCGCCTCGGCCAGGATCAATGACTACCATGTCGTCGAGTGACGACATCGCAGGCGTTCCAGGCGGAAGTGGGATAAGCCACAAGACCTACGGAGGTGTGAGGGTTAAATAATCTGCAGTGAGGAGGTCACTCGTGAAGCGAGGGCAGGGGCCAGGGGTATGCACTAGCC